TTATTAAATGTTTAACACCTTCTAATTAATTTAATAACATATTTTTTTTAGGATGCATTTAAAATTTAACTTTTAAATTATATAATTGAAGCAGTTTTTAACATAAAAAACAACATGTACTGAACATGTACTGTTGTGTACAAATATTTAGAAATTATTTTATATTGAAAAAAGAAAAACTATATATGTTTAAAATATTAATTATTTTTATTAAGAACAAACAATATGTACAAAATAAATTCTATTTTGAAACACTATTTTAAAATTTGTTGTAAACAATTTTGGCAATTAATATTATTACATTAATATATAATTTTTGTTAAAATATTTGTAATGTGTTTTTAACATATTTATTTTTTCTTAATTTAAAAAAAAAAAATTTTTAAATTTTATTAAACATATATAGACATATCTGTCAATAATTGTAACGTAAAGATAAATATTCTGTATGTAGTTATAAATACTACAGTATAAATTATAATATATATGATAATGCAACATTATAAATTATTGAATATAAGGATAGTACATTATAAATTATTGTTTATAATAATAGTAGGTATATAAAAAAAAATTATGAAAACACACATATTTAAATGTGCAATATAATAAATACTTGTAAAATTAAGTGCAATATAAAGTAATTTTAAAGATTGACCAAACATTGTGGTTTCATAATTAGTCCTTATTGTAACAATTTTAAATTACAGTTAGATTAAATTTACATATATCTAATAATATGAGAAATTTTAATTTTTGTTATTTTAAATGAAAACACACATATTTAAATGTGCAATATATTGAGTACTTGTAAAATTATGTTTTTAAAAAAAAAAAAAAATATATAAATAATTGTAATAGAATAAAAAAAAAAAGTGTGAACGGATTATATATACTGTCGTTATGCTTTCGCTAATATGTTATATCATTATATCACCAATGACAAAGAAGTCCTTTGAAGAGCGTCAACGCTGCTCCGCAAGGGGGAAGGGATGTTGTGGGCTCATACACAATAGGGTGTGCGTGAAACGGTTTGACCATCATTAAATAAAAATATAAGAACAGCCTTGTATTATTTCTCATGTTACGATGCGGTAGCATGGGACTATGCAGAAGGCAATGATCCCACAACGCGAGCGTGGAATACGCTGACACTACGAAACGTGACCAGCAAACACGCTACTTTTGAAGCTAACGCAAAAGTACAGAAACTTTTGACTAGCAGTTGCCGTTTGAAATTTAGAGGTGGTGGATGTTGTTGAGCATCGTTTGTGAGTGATTTTCGCAATCCGCGGCATAAAACGGTATATGACGAGCAACAGGTCGGGTAATGATTTTAACTTAAAACCCAAAACTTAATTGTGCACGAGTTAGTGAAAACACCAGCGATTGCGGTAAAACATTTTGGTTAGCGGTTAGCAAAGTCTCGTTTAAACTACGCGACGACGCCGTTAAAAAACTGAGAACGAATGACCAACCCCTTTTGGAGAATTAACGTTGTGGCTAATTTCACCGTATTAAATTATAGTGATAGTAATAAATTTTGAATGTCCAGAAGTAAAATAAAATCACAAAATTTTATTATCAGTGAAGTTAAAATGAACGACCAAACCAATATAAAATAAACACCCTAAGAAACTTTAGTAAGCAGCGCTCCAACTGAATCAGCAACAACGTTAACCACGAGAATAGCAGTAACAAGTGCGTGAACAAGAGCAATAGTTATCATACGCAACAACTTCGGTTACAACTCCAGAAGATATAACAGTTCAAATGTACATTCTTCCACAACTGTGTCGGAAACTGCAACAGCAAGAGTAATAGCAACTGCGGAACTTGAAGCAACATCTACAACACCAGCAGCAGCGGTGACGACAGCAGAGCCCCAGAATGTGCCACAGTTAACATAGCGAAGCAGCGGCAGCAGTTAGGCTTAGGAAATAAACAGAATTTCAATAAAGCGTTCGAAACTAAACCTCATGTGTGTTTTACTCGCACTAGTACCACGACACTAGGACTAGCACAGGTAATACGGTGATTTTTGTAGGGCTAGACCACTTCTCAAAATACGTATTTCTCAAACCGATGCGTTCAGCTACAGTCCAGAATATGATAAAGTATCTTGAGGCTGATGTCTTTCACACATTTGGTGTACCAGAATTAATGCATTCCGATAACGGGAAACAATTTATTTCAGAAGCCTTTAAGTCATTCTTGCAAAAATATGGAGTGAAACACATCCGAACTGGATTTTATTCTCCCCAAGCCAATGCTGCCGAACGAGTAAATCAGTCAGTACTTCAGATCGTTCGTTCTTATATACAAGAACACCAATGTAATTGGGATCAGTATGTAAGTGAGGCAGCATTTGCACTCAGAAGTGTGAAACACAGCTCGATAGGTATGGAACCATAAATGGCAGTGTTTGGGTCACATATGATTCAGCATGGCGCAGCATATGAGATAATGAGGAAGCTGAGCTCCATTAAACAATCCGAATTTGAAATATTAGAAGCGACAGACAAACAACTATTGATGCGAGAGAAACTGACAGCAGAATTGAAAGCAGCTCACCAGAGATCTGGAAGAGTGTATAATCAACGAAAAAAGGAAATTCAGTTTAGAGCGGGGCAATTAGTGTATAGACGCAACTTCAGACAAAGTAAAAGAACTGATGGTTATAACGCGAAGTTAGGAAAGAAAAACGTGAAGTGCGTGATTTTAAAGGCAATAGTTTCTTCGCTATACGATTTAGGAAACATGAATGGGGTTAGCATCGGGGTATACCACGCGAAGGACATCTTTTGTCAGTAAGGAGTAGAAATCGGATCATAACAATTATGGTAAATGTCTGGCTAGATCAGTCGGTAAAGGATGAAACTCTGTAACTGAAGGTATGGGTCGAGGCCACACGTTGTACAAGCAAACAACAGTCTACCAGTCTATTTTTTTTTACGAGCCCGTTCCATATTACCATATATAGAGATATAACATCGACGATATCGAGCCTGTTATGGTAGCCTATAGGTATGTTAGAAAAAATATTTAAAGAAAGAAAATTTTTTTTAATAAACTAAACTAAATATAATATATATTTTACGTAACAAATGTATTGACACAAGGGCATACCAAACACAGCAAATACTCACCACGCGGATGTAGTCCGTGGATGTTAATGAACCTGAAAAAAACCACCCCCCAAAGTCGGCGAGCATACCGGGCTGGCCACCATGTCACCACCTTCACGTTCACAGCCTATTTACTTCGCCCACCGAAAACCGGACACAACAAATTGCGCCAAACGAGACACTAATACGAAGACAGGACCGAAATAAAAGACGTAATAAATAACAAAATAATAATATTATAGATATATCTATACAATCTATAATAATGTAATAGACATATATATATACAAAAGAGAGGAGGTTTTGAAAAGTTTTAAAATTTTTTTTAAAAGATATTATTTATATATATATTGTTGATAGAATAGACAGATGAACAGCAAACCAAAGATGGTTGCCTCAACAAGTGGCAATGCAGACAGTATAGACAAAGAGGACTTGACAACCAAAAATTTTGTTTAAATTTCACCTTAAACATAGTTTTTTTTAAATTCTTAAAATAGATTCTATTTTCACAAACAAAGAAACGTGCACCGACCTTCAAGGTTTTTTTATAATCTTTAATTAATAAAGATTACCACCGCGCCGCGAATTGTATTAGATTAAAACGCACAAAACTTTAGTTCAATGCTCACTTTATTTAATGAATCTTAAGACTAACTTATAACTAACAATTTTGCTTATATTTATAATGAGGATTCGAAGTATCAAATCCTGATAAGACAATTCGTTGTTTGGTTAGGCCGAACAACGATAATAATATTTTAAGTTACAATGTTTATTTAAAGATAATAGAATATGATAAAATATAATGTAGATCTTTCGTTGTTTGATTAGGTCGAATAACGATAATAAAACGTTTATATTTATAGTGAGGATTCGAAGTATCGAATCCTGATAAGACAATTCGTTGTTTGGTTAGGCCGAACAACGATAATAATATTTTAGTAGGATGTAATTTAGATATTTCGTTGTTTGATTAGGTCAAATAACGATAATAAAATACTTAATATAGGGATAAGATAAGAGAATGTAACTCCTCTACCCCTTGATTCGAGATACTCCTGGATCTCGTTATTATAAATGTATGTGAGAAGTAAGGAGAAAAAAAAAAAAAAAAAAAAAAAATTATACAATTCCATACTTTCTTTTAATTTGGTTTAGTTCGATTTCTTTGACTTTATTGCCTTGGATATTATTTACAATTTTTATTTGATCCTTTCTTTTATAAAGATATAACAAAATTATAATGATTAATACAATTATTATACCAAATGTAATA